TTCTACAATTTTAAAACTCATTTTTATGGCTAGTTGGGCCTAAAACAAAACCCAATTAAGGCCAACAACTTAAATCATGAAATTCACAAGGTCTACTTACCCCTTGGGTAAACCCGAAACTACTAGTCCAAAATTTGGGGTATTACATGAGCATTCAATGTTAAATGATTGAGAATTATCTTTGAACATATATTGTTTTGTACTTACCCCAGATTAATAAAAAAATTGTGTATGTTTTTTATATTTAATTTATTATATATAAAAATAAATATTAAAATTACACGTCTATTTTAGTTTAATACACAATTTATGTTTATATCAATAATGTTGGTTTACTTTGGTTATGATAAAAAATAATCAATATAAATCTTAAATAAGAAATAATTACTCTTAAAAGCACTCAAATTTATAATTTTAAAATACTAATATGAACCGAATATAATTTTAAAAAAAATAATTCAAAATAAAATTGTCCATATAAAACCTATCCCATAACATTTTTTACTTCTCATGGCTTTTACTAATTATAACAATAATTAGTTATTTATTATGGTAAACTATGCTAATGGTCACTAATGTTTAAGTAAGTGATCGTTTTCACTAATAATGTTTGAAAAGTCTTAAATCGATCACTAACGTTATCGTTTGTTACAAAATAGTCACTCAAAGTTAACAGTCGTTACTGTGGGTGACAAAAATCTGATGCGGCACGTTAATATGATTTTTTGGCACTGTTTGACCATTATTTTGATCTACCCTTTCCTTCCATCTCCACTCTCTCATCTTCATACTTTTTATAAGTCAAAATCCACATTTTTTGGATGAATGAGGGGTTTTCTTGCACAAACAAGGAATGAAACTAAACAAAGACAAGGGTTCCTAGAGTTAAACAAAGAATAAGCAAAGAGTGAGAAATTGAGAAATGGAGGATTATTTGAGATTCATTTACATGCATACATTAGATGACAATAATTTAAGAAAAATGGAGACTTGGTGGCAAAATATATGCAAATTAATACAAATCATTATTTTCTCAATATTTTCCCATCTACATGGTGTTTCCATGGTGTGGTAGCTGATTTTGTTTCAACTTTTGGTGGAGGTTTATGTCGACTTAATGTTTCAGTAACATCTCTATAGATTAGTGACGACGAGGCTAATGGTCGATGAGAGAGAGAACTTGACCCTCGAGGAAGTGAGGCACTTCTTAATTAGAAAAAAAGAATAACATAATATTTAACCTTATAAAGAGAGCTCAATATTTTCATAATGAGAATACATATGACCCTGAAGCCTTTTCAATAGAGGGGTTCTATGGCTCAATATTGTCATAACGAGAAACCAAAAAGTTTTATGCTCAGATATATCAGACTCAATAAGCATAGAGAGAAAGGGAATATGTTTAGCAAAATCCAGATTTCATATGATTCTAATTTTACATAATTTTATATGGAGATTTTGGATAGCTTATGGTGAGGCGAGTGATACTATCCAAAAGTGTTATATTTGGTAGCCTTAATTATCTAAGTTTAGTTTGAACTTAAGCATATTTAGGATTAAATTTACTAAAAAGTGTGAGGATGATGAGAGATCAAAAATATCAATTCCACATTATTTCTTTTCAAGCCATGAACGCCTAAATATTTTGCCAGGGATCGCTGCAGCAGAAATGAAGCTTGCTGAAGAGCTTCAGCGATCAGCGGGTCACAATTCAACACCTTCTATAAGGAGAGGGAGTGTTTCAAATGTTTAACTTGTTATTATATGTTTATTATGGATTTCTTTATATCGTGTTCTCTTGGATATTTGGTTTATGAGCTTTGAACTTCATGATTGTAGTAGAAATATTTGCAATTACATTTATAGTAATTTCGTTTAAATCTAGAAGTAGTTTTATTCGAGTTGCTATATACTTGTGTGAGTATTGGTGTTGCTGAGTAGCATAGTTACATTGAAAAGTGTGCAACTAGTTGATTAGCATTGTTAATGGTTTAAATCTTTAATTGATGAAAATTATTAAAGTAATTCAAATGGATTTAATCAATGTTGATTATATAGATTAAGTATTCAACGCTTGCATAGAATTTGGGAATAATAATAGTATATCCGTCAATTTGATAGCTGACCATTTGCTTCCTGGATTGCTATAGCATGAACTGGTAAATTTCATTATTGATTACATTACTTTCACTTTAGCATCAATTTTCTTTGATTCATCTTATTGCCAAAAACTCAAATATAACCATTTTGCTCCTTGTGGGTTCGACATCCATAGCATTAGTTTGCTACCACTTTATTACTTGATTTATGATACGTGTACTTGCGTTTTATGCTATAGCATTTTTGTAGCATCAAGTTGTGATAACTATCCAAAAGAGTTATATTTGGTAGCCTTAATTATTTAAGTTTTATTTGAACTTCAATATATTTAGGAGCATTTTAGGATTAAATTTACTTAATTTTGCATATTTTGCATGTTAAAAGCATAGTAGGTTGTTAAGGCTAAGCTTGATTTTTGTTGTTGCAAAATGTTGCACTGCAGAAAATACTGATCGGATGCTGTAGCAGTCGTCTAAACTCTAGACGATTAGAAGAATCTTCTTGATTGGGATAGTTGGCATCAGTAGCTGTCATATGGATGGATAACACATGAAACGTGGATTTATCCTCTTGGTCAATAATATTTTATTCAGGCTATAAAAGGGGAGTATTTGGGTGCAAAAATGTTATGATGAGAGAGATCAAAAGTACCATTTCCACATTATTTCTTTTCAAGCCATGGACGCCTAATTCTTCTGTCAGGGATTGTTGAAGTAGAAAGGAAGTTTGCTGAATAGCTTCAACGATCAGTGGGTCACCGTTCAACACCTTCTATTGAGAGGGAGTTTCAAATGTTTAACTTGTTATTATATGTTTATTATGGATTTCTTTATTTTGTTTTCTCTTGGATATTTGGTTATGAGCTTTGAACTTCATAATTGCGAGTAGAAATATTTGTAATTACATATATATTATTTTCATTTAAATCTAGAAGTAGTTTTATTCGAGTTGTTATATACTTGTGTGAGCATTAGTGTTGCTAAGTAACATAGTTACATTGAAAAATGTGTAGCCAGTTAATTAACATTGTTAATGGTTTGAATCTTTAATTGATGAAAATTATTAAAGTAGTTCAAACGGATTTAATCAGTGTTACATAGATTAAGTATTCAACACTTGCATAGAATTCGGGAATCATAATAGCATATTCGTCGATTCGATAGCTAACCATTTGCTTCCTGGAATGATGTTGCATGAACTAGTATCTTTCGTTATTGATTACATTACTTTCACTTTAGCATTAATTTATATTGATTCATCTTATTGTCAAAAACTCTAATATAACCATTGATACATGTAGGTTGACATTCGTAACATTAGTTTTATACCACTTTGTTACGTGATTTGCGACACATGCACTTGCGTTGTATGTTATAGAATTTTTGTAGCATCAACTTGTGATAACTATCCAAAAGAGTTATTTGGTAGCCTTAATTATGTAAGTCTAGTTTGAACTTAAGCACATTTAGGATCATTTTAGGATTAAATTTACTTAATTTTGCATAATTTGTATGTTAGGAGCATAGTGGGTTATTAAGGGCTAAACTTGATTTTATTTGCTGCAAAATGTTGCATTGATGTTGTAGTACTACAGGAAATATTGATCGGATGTTGTAGCAGTCGTTTAAACCCCATACGATTGGAAGAATATTTTAGATCGGGACATCTGGCGCGGGTAGCTGTCATGAGGATGGATAACACCTGAAACTTGGATTTATTCTATTGGGCGATGAGATTTTCATTCAAGGGGAGTATTTGGGTGCAAAAAGTGTAAGGATGGTGAGAGATCAAAAGTACCATTTTCACGTTATTTCTTTTCAAGCCATGGATGCCTAAATCTTCTTCCAGGGATTGCTGCAGCAGAAAGGAAACTTGCTGACGAGCTTCAACGATCAGCGGGTCACCATTCAACACCGTCTATTGAGAGAGTGAGTATTTTGAATGTTTAACTTGTTATTTGATGTTTATTATGGATTTCTTTATTTTGTGTTCTAGATATTTGTTTTTGAGCTTTGAACTTCATGATTGCAAGTAGAAATGTTTGCAATTACATATATAGTATTTTCGTTTAAATCTAGAAGTAGTTTTATTCGAGTTGTTATATACTTGTGTCAGCATTGGTGTTGTTGAGTAGCATAGTACATTGAAAAGTGTGCAACCAATTGATTAGCATTGTTAATGGTTTGAATATTTAATTGATGAAAATTATTAAAGTAGTTCAAACGGATTTAATCAATGTTGATTACATAGATTAAGTATTCAACCCTTACTTAGAATTTATGAATCATAATAAATATCCGTCGATTTGATATTTGACCATTTGCTTCCTTGAATGTTGTAGCATGAACTGGTATCTTTTATTATTGATTACATTACTTTCTTTAGCTTCAATTTCCTTTGATTCATCTTATTGTAAAAAAACTATAATTTAATAATTTCCCTCCATGTTGTTTCGACATCCGTAGTATTAGTTTGCTATCACTTTATTACTTGATTTGTGATACGTGCACTTACGTTGTTTGCTATAGCATTTTCGTAGCATCAAGTTGTGATAACTATCCAAAAGAGTTATTTTTGGTAGCCTAAATTATATAAGTTTAGTTTGAACTTAAGCATATTTAGGAGCATTTTAGGATTAAATTTACTTAATTTTTCATATTTTGCATGTTATGAGCATAGTGGGTAGTTAAGGGCTACACTTGATTTTTGTTACTGTAAAATGTTGCACCGATGCTATAACACTGTAGAAAATACTAATCGAATGTTGTAACTAAACTCCATATGGTTGGAAGAATCTTTTTGATTAGAACAGTTGGTGCGGGTAGCTGTCATGTGGATAGATAACACCTGAAACATGAATTTATCCTATTGAGTGATGAAATTTTCATTCAAGCTATAAAATGGGAGTACTTAGGTGCAAAAAGTGTGAGGATGGTGAGAGATCAAAAGTACCATTTTCACGTTATTTCTTTTCAAGCCATGGATGCCTAAATTTTCTGCCAGGGATTGTTGCAGCAGAAAGGAAGCTTGCTGAAGAGCTTCAGTGGTCAGCGGGTCACCGTTCAACACCTTCTATTGAAAGAGGGAGTGTTTCGAATGTTTAACTTGTTATTGGATGTTTATTATGAATTTCTTTATTTTGTGTTCTCTTGGATATTTGGTTTATGAGCTTTGAACTTCATGATTGCGAGTAGAAATATTTGCAACATATAAATCTAGAAGTAGTTTTATTTGAGTTGCTATATACTTGTGTGAGCTTTGGTGTTGCTAAGTAGCATAGTTACATTGAAAAATGTGCAGCCAGTTGATTAACATTGTTAATGGTTTGAATCTTAATTGATGAAAATTATTAAAGTAGTTCAAATGGATTTAATCAATGTTGATTACATAGATTAATATTCAACGCTTGCATATAATTTGGGAATCATAATAGCATATTCGTCGATTCGATATCTGACCATTTATTTCCTGGAATGTTGTAGCATGAACTGGTATATTTCTTTATTGATTACATTACTTTCACTTTAGCATCAATTTTGTTGAAAACATTTTGATGTTTTGATATAACAAATAAAGTGTTAATGAATTTTAAGATTTTATATTGAATTTTAAAGTATATTCGATTAAACTATTCGAATACAAAAAATTACTCCAAGTTTTTCAAATGTCAATTTCAATCCTTACTAAAGTGTAAAATTGTGTTTCATACTTCAAATGTTTTTGAAACAATTTCTACAAAGTATTTCGAGCCTTAATCGAGCCAAAAATAATTTAAATAGGGAGGTACCCGATACCCTATGCCAATTTTGGCTCTGAGAAAAACAGAATGCTCAATGGGTATCGATACCCCCTTAGAGTAACCGATACCCCTTGTAATTTAACAGTCGAAATATTTGAATTATAATGCAAGTACCGATACCCATTGAAGGGGTACCATACCCCACGCTCCCAGCAGCCTTTTTTAAGAGGGTTTTCACACTACAACGGCTCTAACATCACCCAAATGATTCACAACGGCTAGAATCAATCCAAGGTGTATTTAAACAAGTTCTGAAGCCATTGATCAATGAGAATTCATTGAGAAACAAGAGAGAAAGCATCAAACATCAAGTTTGTGCAATTCAAGCCAATTTTCCTTCAATATTCATTTTGCTTTCAAGAACACATATTGTGCTCATTTGTAATCATCTTTGAGTGTTCTTTCTTGTTAGAATTGTGCAAACATATTGCATTGTGAGGTTTTTCTGTAAGTTTGCGAAATTTGTATTGTTCTCTTTGGGAGAGAGTGTTATCAAGAATTTGAGGTATAATTCTTGAGGGATTTGTAAGGTTACTCTTTTTCCTCAAAATAAAGACAAATTAGTAAATTTGTGAAAAATCCTTAGTGTGGATAGCTAAGGTAGTGGACGTAGACTTTGGTTGAGAAAGTCGAACCACTCTAAATCGTTGTGCAATTATTTTCTATTTTCTACAAAAGCTTCCACCAAAATTTTTATTGTCAATTCACCCCCCTCTGGCTATTTCGTCGATCGATTAACTCAACAATTGGTATCAGAGCCTCACATATTTAAAGGTTTAATCACCTCTTGAGTCGATTCGGGAGGAGTTATATCGATATTCAAGTCATCAATGGCCTCTACTTCAAACTTTGACTTTGGTCTTGATTCAATGCTCGTCAACAAGCCTCATTTCTTCAATGGAGCTAATTATGCTTATTGGAAGAATATAATGAGGTACTTTATTCAAGCAAGTGACATAGGAGCATGTAATATCATAGAAGACAGATACATCATACCTTTGACTCATTCAAGATTGTGGAGTGAAGGAGATACAAGAATGTTCCAGCTTAACTCAAAGGATATCTATATTATATTTTGTGCTCTTGGAGATGAATATGGAAGAGTTATCTTGTACAACTGCCAATAAGATAGGGATAAACTACAAGTCATGAAGACACAAAGGAGGTAAAAGAATCTAAAATTAGTCTTCTAACTCATAGCTATGAAAATTTCAGGATGAAACCGGATGAAACTGGATGAAGACATCAAAGCTATGACGGATAGATTTTCCGTGATTGTCAATAGTCTCAAATCATATTGAGAGTTCATTCCAAATGAGAAGCTTGTGAGGAAGTTAGTTTACTCTCTTCCAAAAGTTTGACAATCAAATAAGACGACGATTATCGAGACTAAAAATTTAAAATCTTTAACCCTCGATGAGCTAATCGGTTTCTCTCACACATGAAATGATGCTTCAAGATGAGGAAGACCTCGAGAAAAGAGAAAGAATGAGACGGAGAAGAAGAAGAATGATGGAGTTACTCTCAAATCCAAAAAAGATGAGAGTGATTCTGATAAAGATGACGATGACGAGGAAATGACATTATTTGCCAAAAGGTTCAGAAAACTAATGAAGCCCAATAGAGGAAGAAAATTCAAACGTAATGAAGGCTTCAAGAATGAACCAAAAGAGAAGGACACTATCATTTGCCACGAATGCAAAAAGCCCGGGCATGTCAAATATGATTGCCCACAATTAAAGAAAAATGGTCAATCCAAGAAGAAGCATAAGACACACGTGGCTACATGGAGCGATGAAGAAGCTTCCGATGAAGAGGAACAAGAAGTAGCAAACTTGTGCTTAATAGCTTTTAGGGAGGATTCTCAGGTAACCTCTAACTCATTTAATTTCGAAGATTGTTCTTTTGATGAGTTGTTAGAGGAATATACTGGGTTGGCTTCGGATTATGAGAAATTATTTTTAAAATACAAAAGTGATATTTCAAAATTGAAAATGAAAATTAATCTCATCCAAGACCAACATGATCTTGAAAGTAAGGACAAAGAATTGCAAATCAAATTAGATGAATTTGAAAAGAAAAGTACGGATTTCATATCTTACTTTCAAGAGTTAATGACGATCATCAAAACGAAATTGATGATCTTAAAGCTTCTTTTAATAAAGTTGGAACAAAACGCTTTGAAATGGAGAAAGTTCAAAATCCAACTTTGTTAGATAAAGTTTTAAAAACTACAATCATAGAGGTCCCAAAGAACCTCTAATGGAAAAATCATTAGAAGTATATGGATTCCTAAAGAACTCGTACTACTAAAGATAAGGTATCCTACACAAATGGATACCCAAGGGACTAAGATTTTAGAAACTAATGAATATGGACCCAAGGCATAAAATACAAGTTCAAACTCATGGTACCTTGATAGTGGATGCTCAAGAAACATGACCAGAGACAAGAACCGATTTATAGAGCTTAACGAGAAAAATGGAGGAGAGGTAACTTTTGGTGATAATTCAAAAGGTCACATTGAAGGTATAGGCACTATAGGTAATATCTCTTCCATAAAAATTAAAATGTTTATATGTGAATGGATTAAAGCATAATCTATTGAGTATTAGTCAATTATGTGATAAAGGATACAATGTCTTATTTGAAACAAATGGTTGTAAAGTTATGGACATTACATATAATCGGATTATGCTTGTTGGTCATAGAATAGGAAACATTTATATGGTGCATTTAGATTCATTAAATATGACTAATTTATGTCTAGTTGCTAAGGATGAACATGATAGTTGGTTATGGCATAGGAGACTAGGACATACTAGCATGAGTATTTTACAAAGACTAATTCAAGGAGATTTAGTAAAAGGATTGCCAAAGCTAAAATTTAATAAAGATAAATATGTGATGCTTGTGCTAAAGGAAAACATCAAAGAGCATCCTTAAGTCCATTAATGATGTATCAACTAGAGTATTATAATTGATCTATATAGATCTTTTTGGGCCAATTAGGACTGTTAGCTTGGGTGGAAAACAATATTGCTTTGTATTGGTAGATAATTATCTAGATATACTTAGGTTCTATTCTTAAGTACTAAAGATAAAGCATTAGAAAACTTCATCACGTTTTCAAAAGTAATCCAAAATGAAAAAGTTACTCCATAATTAGTGTTAGGATCATGGTACTGAATTTGAAAATCTTGGATTTATTGATTTTTTTAATTCTAATGGTATTACCCATAATTTTCAGCACCTAGAACCCCTCAACAAAATGGAGTTGTTGAGAGGAAAAATCGAACTTTAGAAGAAATGGTTATAATCATGCTTTGTGAAAACAATTTGCCAAAATATTTTTGGGCGGAAGCCACAAATACCGCTTATTATGTTACAAATCGAGTAATGATTAGTACAATTTTAAAGAAAACTCCATTTGAACTTTTCAAAAATAAAAATCCTAACATTAGTTATTTTCATCCTTTTGGATGTAAATTTTTTGTTTTAAACAACGGTAAAGACAATCTTGGCAAATTGATGCTAAAAGTGATGAAGGAATTTTTCTGGGTTATTCCTTAAATTCTAAAGCTTATCGAGTATTTAATAAAGAACTTTAGTTGTAGAAGAGTCTATACATGTTTTCAATGATAATCCCCTTCTGAGGAAGGATTTTTGTGTTGATGATGATGTTGGTGTTGTAAAAGCAAATGACGTTAGATATGTTGGAGAACCATCATCAAAGAAGAAAAAAAAAAAGATGAGGACACTCACGATGTCCTCAGAATCCAACCATTGAAGAAAGGGAAGTATTACCCAGAGAATACAACTATGTCAAGGATGGTGAGATAATAGGTGATCCATCCAAAGGGTAACAACTCTATCTTCTCTTAGAATATATGTAATTATGTTGCATTTATCTCATGCATAGAGCCTAAGAATATTAAAGAAGCATTAATGATGAACATTGGATCATGGCTATGCAAAGAGTTAAATCAATTTGAGAGAAGTAAAGTATGGACATTAGTTGAAAGGCCTAGTAATAAATCTACTGTAGGTACTAGAAGGGTATTTAGGAATAAACTTGATGAAAGTGGTAATATAGTGAGGAACAATGCTAGACTTGATGCTCAAGACTATACTCAAGAAGAGGGCATAGATTACGATGAAAAATACGCTCTCGTAGCTAGGATAGAAGTAATTAGAATGTTATTAGCACTTGCATATTTCAATGAATTTAAATTATATCAAATGGA